ATTTCAAAGTTAGCTTTAAAGTTTAGGTCCCTGTTAACTAAAAAAAAAAAAAAAAGGTAGTATTCTGAATGTAAATATAGAAATACAGGAATTCAGAGATGGGGAAATGTTTAGGCTATTTTAGCATAAGTGATAATCAGGAGAAAATCACAGTATTATCATACAAGAGATCCTGGCTGTGGGCTCAAGAGGGTAAATCAGCTCAGGGCTCTGAAAGCTTCTTAACTACACTGCTTCTAGATTCAGACTAGCAATGGGAACGTTGGGGGAAGCAGCCTTATATCAATTGAAATCATATTTATTGAGCTACTACTATGTGCAATGTCTAATGCTTGGTCAAATGGGAGATGAGAAAAATGAAATAGACACTTTCATTGATTTTTAAGTCTCCATAGCCTCAATTGTTGTTCTTAAGTGCCATTGAGTCCGTTCTGACCCATAGTGACCCTGTATAGGGTTTGCAAGGAGTGGATGGTAAGTTTGAACCGCAGACCTTGCAGTTCAAATGGCTTTGCAGTCAGGTGCATTAACCCACAGCGCCACCCCAGGACTCCTATAACCTCGATAGCACATATAATAAATAGTTTGTACAAGAATGACTGTTGGAAGAATTACAATAAAGGCATGGCTAAATTCTATCAACTATGGGGGACAGTGTATGGGATGAATTAATATTGAATGGAAGATTTGAACCTGGACTTTAAGAAAAAGCTGGATATTTGATACGTGGAAATGAGGGCAGGATATTTCAAATACAGGGACCAACTTGAACGAAGCAGAAGCATATTTCTGCTCAGTACTGATGGGATGTCTTCCCTGCCCACCACTCCCGTTCATGTCTGCCCTGTGCATGATATTTGATGAATATAAGTGCATCTTTAAACTCAGGTATGACTTAAAGTCTATTAAAGATTTTATGTAGGTCACTGCCTGAATATTAGCTAAATATAGCTGCAAGATATGACCTCATTAAGTTTTTATATCACAAATCCAAATACATCTGCTCACAGTGGAACAAATGAAGCAGTGGGAATGAAGTGGGTCTGTATGACCTCTATGATGCTATGATTAGAACCCATTCTGTTTTAGAATAATGCTTCTTAAGCTCTAGTGTGTTTCCTGCAAGCAACATCCAACCAAATAAAGACAGATAAGAAGATGTAAGGAAAGAAGAAGAGGAAGAGGAAGGAAGGAAATGTGGAGAGAGAAGTGAATTATATTGTTGTTGTTAGGTGCCATCGAGCTGGTACCGACTCATAGCGACCCTGTATACAACAGAATGAAACACTGCCCGGTCCTGGGCCAACCTCACAATTGTTGCCACACTTGAGCCCATTGATGTTGCCACTTTGCCAATCCATCTGACTGGGGGTCTTCCTCTTTTTCGCTAATCCTCCACCTTACCAAACACTATATCCTTCTCCAGCGACTGTTCCCTTCTGACAATATGTCCGAAGTATGAGAGATAAAGTTTGGCCATCCTGGCCTCCAAGGAGCACTCTGGATACACTTCTTCCAACACAGATCTGTTGGTTCTTTTGGCAGTCCATGGCACTTTCAATATTCTCCTCCAACACCCTAACTCAAATGCATCAATTCTTCTATGGTCTTCCTTACTCACTGAATTATAGTAGGATATAATTTATACTAGAAAGGAAAGTACTTAGAACAAAATTTAAAATTTCACCCATTCTCTATCTCTTTATTTTCTTGAAATTCATAACTCATTATTATCTGATATTGTTGTTGTTGTTGTTGTTGAACTTGCTGTTGTTAAGTGCCCTCAAGTTGCTTCCGACCCACAGTGATCCTGTATAGAGTTTCTGAGGAGCAGGTGGGTCTGAATGCCAACCTTGTGGTTTAAAGTCCAGTACTGATCTTACAACGCTGTATCTGATAATATGTTGTTGCTGTTGCTGTTAAGTGCCATCGAGTCAGTTCTGACCCATAGTGAGTGACCCTTATAGGGTTTCCAAGGACCAGCTGGTGGGTATGAACGGCCAACCTTGCAGTTCAAACTGACTTTGCAGTCCAGCGCATTAACCCACAACACTACACCAGGACTCCATTTGATAATATTTGTTGTTGTTAAGTGCTGTCGAGTCGATTCTGACCCATAGTGACCCTGTATAGGGTATCCAAGGAGCAGCTGGTGAGCTTGAACCACCAACCTTGCAGTTCAAATGGCTTTGCAGTCTGGCACATTAACCCACAGTGCCACACCAGGACTCCATTTGATATTATAGTATATATTAATTTCATTTTGTCTGTGTCCTCCACCAGAATTTAAGCTTCAAGGGCAGGGATTTCATTCATTTTGCACTCTGTTATTCTCTCAGCAGAAAGTATAGTGCCTAGCATATAGATCCATACATATATACTCAATAAGCATTGACTATATGTTGAATAAATGAACATCTGCAAGACGTATATACTGCTTTGAGACAAAAGATTTAATGGAGTCATTCAATCTGGTGCCAAAAGGTGCTGGGAAAATTGTCTTTTGGTTTTCTTCTTGGGAGGACATGGGATATGACAAGACAAGGAGATCTTCACTTCAAACCCTAGTGAAAATAATATCCTAAATGGATTAAAGAGATACATATTTTAAAAATCAAAACCATAGACGTTTAAAATAAGTGAGGTTTTGTTTATGGGTTTGTTTTTTTCCCCTTCTTACTGTCTTTGGATGTGATGTCTTTCTAAATAAAAGAACAATAAAATACATCACAAAGAAAGGGTTAGCTCTACCATCTCTCAGTTTATTCCAGGTAGAATTATCACCGGAACAGGAGCAGGTGAATCAGCTAGGCTGCATCAACTACATTTTAAGTTTGTGGGCTCAGTATATTCCCTTTAATTTGATCCTAAGCTTATTCTCTGGAGTCCTAGTAGAATAAGCACTATACAGCTAACCAAGAGGTCGGCGGTTCAAATCCACCAGCCGCTCCTCAGAAACCTTATATAGTGTCGTTATGAGTTGGAACTGACTCGAAAGCATTTAATAACAACAAGCCTATCCCTTTGTTTACGGCACATACCAACTCACAGTCTACTTCAATCCCTTTTTCAAAGTCCGATTGTATTGCTTCAGCCTTCATTATTTCATTGTCATATAAATTGTTTAAACATTCTTATTCCATTGATATGAGGAGGGTGTTTCACAGCTAAGGTAACCCATGCAGCAATTACACAATTTAATTCCAGACCACTCGACACACAAATGATCTGCACTCTAACTGTGCTTTTGTCTCACTTGTGGTCTTCAGAGTGTAAACCTTACATCTCTCTTTACTTTTATTACTTACGTTTTCTATATCTTATTGCCCAAGATACGTTTTTTAAATCCACTAATTTATGACATTACATATCATACGATATGCATGGTGATTATTTCATTCTGTTATACATAGGGTCACTTTGAGTCGGAACCAACTAGACAGCACCTAACAACAACAACATGTTATGCAAAATATTTCCAAGATTATACAACAGTATTATTTTAACTTTTCAAAATATAGTTTATATATTTATTAATTAATGGAATTCATTGCCATTTTAGTATAGTAGAATTTCCTTCAGCCAATAGTATGTAATATCCTCTGACTTAGTAATTTCATATTTGGGAATTTGTCCTAAGGAAATACTCAGAAGTATATACTTAAATCCTCAAGTAAGAAGTATTATATGACAGCAGTGTTTATAATATTGAAAAATTACAAGCAATATAAATGTCCAACAAAAGTAAGACATCCTTAGGATGAAGTATTATATAACTAACAAGAACAGATACTTAGAAAACATTTTGAGTGGTATTTGAAAGGGTTTATGAGAATGTTGGACAAAAAGGGGGAATGGGCAAAATGAATCTGTAGTGTGAGTTCAACCATATAAATATCCACACTCATATGTATAGAGCAAAATAAAAGGAAATACACCAAAGTGGCAATGGTTGTATTGGAGTAAGGAGATTTACTTTCTTTTTCTCATTAATGAAACTAATTTTGAACAATGTCATGAGCCTAAAAGATAGCTAATTGAAAAACAATGGGAACTAGACCTACAGTAATAGGTTTCATCATGAAAACTGTCACTGAATATGTTCTAGGATTTGAAAGTTCTATTTCCACCTTATCTCCCTTTGCCATGGATGAATGTCCTTTTAATACCAGAGAAGTTGACTCTACCAGGCCTGTGGTGCATCCAGGGATAAGATAAGATTCCCAGCACACCAAGCCTCACATCTGCTTAACTAAGACCCCGTAAAAATGACATTAAGGACAACTTGTGCAGGAGGTATAAAGGAGTACATTTGGGAAATTTACTCTTGACCGTTCACATTGCTTGCTTCATACTAGTGTTTTAAATTATTATATTTCTGGGGATTAATGAAGGCATTTCAAATTCAGAAGCTGGAAGCTGGTAGAAAATCATATTTCTTCTGTGGTGACCATGGTTTGGGGAAAAACCAAAGCAATTTTCCCATTATTTTTGTCATTATGTTCTGTTTCAAAACATCTGGTCTTTAGCTCTTATAGAGACTTCAGTAAAGTGTGGTTGGAATTTGGACTGCCTTGTGGGGTTTCCCCTACCTTCATGTTTATGACTTTCCAGAACTCCTAGGGCACAGATCTAGTCCCCTGCCTCATATTAGCTCCCTAACATTGATAATGAGCACTGGTGTGGTGCTGTAGGAGAAGCACAAGGCTAGCAATTCAAACACACCAACCACTCTTGGAAACCCTGTTCAGGGTTGTTATGAGTTGGAACCAGCTTGACAGCACTAAACAACAACAACATTGGTAATGGGAAAGTAAAGAAGGGAAACAATTTAACTTGAAACCTGAGGGATCTTCGATGCAAAAAATTGAAAGACACTGACTAAAATTCATCTTAAGAAGAATTAAGAAGCCAAGAGAGTAAAGAAAATTATGAAAGAATTAAGAGCAGGAAATAGGATCATAACCTTTCTAGAGCAGCTTCAGGAAAAAATCAACGGGATGAGGAATGTGTTCAACTCTCTGGAGAGTAAGGTAGACACCCATTTCTAATCCTTGGTATGGATTATTGGCTGTAAGAGAAGAAAGCTGAAGAAAGTGTATAGAAAAAGATGCTATAATTGTATCTTCAGGGTATTTTACATTCACAAACGAGTGGCCATGTTTGTATTGGAAAGCCGATCTATAGCAGCTAAACATATTAAGAGCCCAAACATCTTATTAGTAACATACCATTTCAGATGTGTGATTGTACACATGATGACTTTCTATCCCTGGTTGGTCAGTGGTGGTGACGCCATTTATAAAGCAATAGTATTGCTTCAGTGGCAAGTACCCAAGCAAGTTAAACTAATATTTGAGGAGGAGAAAATGGACTTATAGCTCAGAATGGTTCTCGAATTCACAGAGTTGCTATATTAACTTGGGTGTTAGAGAAAAGACACCAGTAATTCTTAATTGTGAGAGTTGGGGCTCTAGAGGTGAGGAGAAAGAAGTCTTTTTCCTTAGGACCTGCTGCTTCCATTGGGTTCCAGGAGAAAAACCCCACACATTCACCTAAAGGAACAGTGACAATGAAACCCGTTCCTGTTGAATAGTGGTTCCCTTTCAACTGGTTATGTGGCAATTGAAAGTTGACCTTTGAGCACCTGAGTAAATATTAGGGATTTCTTATTTCAACTTGTCTACATTTTGTTTTGACATGTGCAATTATCAGTTTTATTTTTTTGTTCACAAAGAAACAAATTATATAGTGAACATGACCAGGTCAGAATGAAGGTGATCTGGGGATAGTCCACCATGACTCAGGACAAATGCCAAAATTCACCACTAAGATGAATTACAAATAAAAACACTTAGAATGAAAATCAGATTGTCTATGTTGTTTCCGAGTCCCTGTTAGTTTCCTGTCTTCCAGCCCCAAACACTTGACAGGCGCTGTTTTTTCCTCAGAATGATCTTGGTTCTTCTTTTTCTTACTCCCAGTCCTAGAAAGAAATCATTTGTGAAGCACAGCGAGCCACAGATCCTATGTTAAACGAGTTAAAAAAATAAAAATAAAGTGTGGTAAGAGGGCAAGTCATTTTAATAGAGAAGTATCAGTGCAAGTTGGGACCATTTAGATGGCCAGATTCAGACAATATCTTAAAATACACATTTGAAGGATTGTTGTTAATGGCACTAATTTTCATTCCTTTAAAACAAGGATACTCGGTTCAAGAAGAAACCTTCTAAAAAGTTCTGTCATAAAAGAGAAATTTGCAGCTAAGAGGTCCTTTATTTACGATAAACACTGGACTGAGGACCACAAGATTAAAGGTTCTAGCTCGCCAGAGGCTCTTTGGGAGAAAAATGAGGTTTCTGCTTCCCTGAAGATTTAAAGTCAGTGTCGCTATGAGTTGGAACAGACTCAATGGCACTTGACAGCAACAACAATTACAAAATAAATGCTTGTTGTTGTTGTTATTGTTAGGTATCAAGTCAGTACCGACTCATAGCGATCCTATACACAACAGAATGAAACACTGCCTGATGCTGGGCTAACCTCACTATTGTTGCCACACTTGAGCCCATTGATGCTGCCACTTAGCCAATCCATCTCGTTGGGGGTCTTCCTTTTTTCTCTGACCCTCCACCTTACCAAACATGTTTTCTTTCTCAAGTGACCGATCCCTCTGACAATTTGTCCGAAGTATGAGAGGCAAAGTTTGGCTATCCTGGCCTCCAAGGAGTACTCTGGCTGTACTTCTTCCAACACAGATCTGTTGGTTCTTTTGGCAGCCCATGGCACTTTCAATATTTTCTTCCAACACCATAACTCAAATGCATCAATTCTATGATCTTCCTTTTTCACTGTCAAGCTTTCGCATGAACATGAGGTTATTGAAAATACCATAGCTTGGGTCAGGTGCACCTTAGTCCTCAAGCTGACAGTTTTGCTCTTCAACACTTTAAAAAGGTCTTATGCAGTAGATTTACCTAATGTAATACGTCATTTGATTTCTTGGCTGCTGCTTCCATGAGTGTTGATGGTTGCTCCAAATAAATGCTACGAAAGATTAGTATTATATTCTTGTTTTTATTATAATAGCTTATTATCATGAAAATGCTTTTTTTCATTTGTTCAGTGCATGAAGTGTTACATTTTCTCTACATTTCAATTTGTGCTTAATATTTTGATTTGCCGCTTACAGGGGGAGAAAAATGAATCTTTCTTCAACACCTTTCATGTGTCAACTAAGCACTGTGCCAGCAGACACTACTCTTACATTTACTAATTTAACTCTCATGGCAGCTCTGTGAAATAAATATTATTCTAGCTATCTGAAAATGAGAAAACTGCATTTTAAAGGCTAGCCTACTTTGTAAAGGTCGTAGTACTTGTAGGAGAGAACTAGAATTTGAACCTTGATTTGTCTGACTACAAAACTGACACCTTTTCCTGATGTGGAAGTTGAAGCTTGATAGTCCAATGTGTGCACCTGTGCATTGCCAGGCTTGATTACTGAAGGTGATTCACATCTCTATCAACATACCGAGTTCCTGCCATTGCAGACATTCTCACAATTTTCTCATTGATTAAAGTCCTGTTTCAAATGTCATTATCTCCTTTTCTATGGTGTCATCTAATAACATCTCAAAATTTTCTCCTATTCAAAGAGATCTCAGTTACAATTAGCTGTTACTCTTTTTAATCCTTTAATTTCTGAAGGCAAAAAGAACTGAAACTCTCTATTCTTATATATATATCACCCAATGAGAATATTAACTCTCCCTTCTTTCACAGAATCAGAGTTCCTATGTCAAGATGGTCTTTCTCATGCATGTTATTTTCAAGTAAACCTCATTTTAATCAAAGATTTTAAATTACATGGTAGTTTGCAAAAACACTTGTAAACTTAGTTAACTGCTTTCTTTCTTGGCTTTATCAAACTTCAGTATGTGCTGTATAAAGAAGATCCTCCCCCAGATGAATGGGGCCAAAGTTGCCTTGGGATACAAATTTTAGATTTAGAGCCTGGTTTCTCAAATAAAAGAAATTTTTAACTATTTTTTATGAGTAGGAAGTTCACAGAGCAGATCATCAGTTTTACATTCAAGTTCATTTCATTTCAACTGCAGTACCCTTCATGTGGCATCACGTATCTCACCTCCTCCTTGTGCAGTGGTAACTCTCCTAATAACTTATAGAGAAGTGAATTTCCTCTTTTTGCATTGTTTAGTTGCAGGCCCTAGCCTCTGAACTGAAAACTGGTTTCACAGAAGCAATGCAGGAACTGACAAGAATTCAACATGGAGAATATGCTTTGGAAGAGAAGGTTAAAAGTTGCAAGTGCTCCATGGAAGAAAAAGTTACTGAAATGAAGAATTCATTAAACTATTTCAAGGTAAGCCCCCTTTACCATTTCCCTGCTGACAATAAATCTTGGTCTTAGCGGTAGCATGGAGAGACAGAACAGCTTCAGGCTCAAGGCCCACGGGTTGAGTAAGGCTGTGTGCCTATGGGCAGGATGCTGACTTGCAGAATGTGCCCTTTGGGCAGTTAAATGAATATATATTTTTTGTTTTGTATGTGTACATAAACCTTTTTGTTGTTGTTGTTGTTTTTAAATCTTGGTCTTTGTAACACAAGTATAAAAAATTGGTCTTTTCCTATAGAAGCCAAATGTAAGAATTTCCCTTCTGGTCATTCACTACTTATCAAGAGTTTTAAAAAACAGCTGTTTAATGTTTTTCTTTTTTGGAGTTTTATCTGATAGTGTAGTGGTTATGAGTCAGGCTGCTAACCTCAAGGTCAACAATTCCACACGAGAAAGATGAGGCTACCAGCTGTTCTGTATGAGACAGATGAGGTTTTCTGTTCCCCATATCATGATGTCATTATTTTTCTATTTATTTACAGCCTCAGAAGCCCTATACAGGGTCACTATGAGTCAGAACTGTTTCCACGGCACATAACCAAACAACCGATGTTCAAATTAATGCTGTAGGTTCGGCATTCTACTGCTAACCACAAGGTTGTCAGTTCAAACCCATCAGTCATTCCATGGCAGAAACATGAGGCTGTCTGCTTCTATAAAGATTTACAATTTCAGAAACCCTAAGGAGCTCTGGTAGCATAGTGGTTACAAGTTGGGCTGTTAACCTCAAGGTCAGCAGTTCGAAACTACCAGCTGTTCCACAGAAGTAAAATGAGGCTTTCTGCTCCTGAAAAGATTTACAGCCTCGGAAACTCTATGCAGGGTCACTACGAGTCAGAACTAACTCCACAGCACACCACCACCACCAGGGAGTCCTGGTGTGGTGCTGTAGGATAAACAGTGGACCTCAAGGTTGTCGGTTCAGACTCACCAACTGCTCCTCAGGAGGTACTTAACTACAACAACAGCAAGAAGCAATTTTATTCTTCCCTATAGAATTGGCTCAGTTGCAGTGGATTTGGTTTTGGATTGTTGTTGTTGTTGTTAAGTGCCATCGAGTCAGTTGTGACCCATAGCAACGCTGTATAGGGTTTCCAAGGAGCAGCTGGTACATTTGAATCACGGAATTTGCAGTTCAAACTAACTTTGCAGTCCAGCTCATTAACCCACGGCACCATACCAGCTTTTGGTTTAATGTTCAAATTAAAGGCCACACTAGTAGATGTCTCCTTTTCATTCAGTCACTCACTTATTCAACAAACACATATTAAAAACTTACTGTGTACTACATTCTATAGTTTGTGCTCTTACTCTATGTACTAGTTAATTACAGATTTATAATTTTTTTTTCCAGGAAGAACTGAGCAATGCCATGTCAATGATCCAAGCCATTACTTCAAAACAAGAAGAAATGCAGCAGAAAATTGAACAGCTTCAACAAGAGAAGCGAAGAGAATCTCGAAAAGTTAAAGCCAAGTGAGTGTCTTGCAGAAACATTTACCAGAGGCAAACTCACAGGCAATGACTTATGCCGAGAGCATCGAGAACACCTTCCCCGTTATTGGAATATAGCTGACTATCCACTGTGCTCCATGGGGTCAGCATATGTTGGGGGTTATGTTGTTATTATTAAGTGCCATCAAGTTGGTTCAGACTCATAGCAACCCTGTATAGGGTTTCCAAGGAGTGGCTGGTGAGCTCAAACCATCAACCTTGCAATTTAAACCAACCTTGCAGTCTAGTACATTAACACACAGTGCCACACCAGGACTCCATCTGAGGTTCTAGAGTCATAAAAAGTAGTTGATACTAAAAATAGATGGTAATTACGCATATGGTAAAATTCATTTAATAGCTGTGATGGTGGTGATGGTAGTGTGCTTTGGAGTCAGTTCCAACTCATAGAGACCCTGTATAGGGTTTCCAAGGCTGTGAATCTTATGGGAGCAGAAAGCCTCATCTTTCTCCCAGAACAACTGGTAGATTCGAACTGCTTACCTTGCAATTAGCAGCCCAACTCATAATCTACTACACTACCAGGGCTCCTTTAATAACTATATTTACATAAAATTTAAATGATATCAAATGATACTTTGATTACAGCTGTAAAAGCATATAAAATAATAATTATTTAAC